GGTACAGCTCCTCCAGTCACTAACAGTGCTAACAGTCTTTTGCTGTGCTACTACAGGGCTTCATGGATGTGTTTTCAGGGCTAGGGTATCTTTCAGAGAATAGATATACCAGGAGGCTATTAAGTTAAACTAAAGGTCATTTAGCCCAAGAGTATTTGCAGTGGCCAGCCCCAGCTGGTTAAGGAAGATGGCTAAAAACAGAGCAAGCACACAACCTCTCCTCTCCCCCCAAAACTTTTCAGTTTCTGAGAATGAACAGCTTTGAGAATATCTACCTGCTGCCCCTTTTGATATGATTTATCTTCCTCCCAGGGCATTCAAAGTCTTCCTATATTTTGTAACTTCATTTCCGGTGGAGGGACTTGAGGAATTCCCAGGAGAGGACCTTGCTTGGGAGCAACAGGGGCAGCAGTTGAGCCGAATCCATCCCCTGAGCAGGGACTGCAGGCTGCTCCCAGACCTGGTGCAAAACTCTTTGCAAGTAGTGAACAAACTGCACAAAACCAGCCTGGGTCCTGGCTGGGCTGAGATGCACAGGGAATGTGGACCCACAGGCATATCTGCTGCTGCATGTCTTCAGGTAGCTCTTACAACTCTGGTGTCTCGTGGCTCGTGTTAAAACTTTGAGGAGAAAAGGGAGAGCCTTGGAAATGGCAATTTGAATTAGGCTAGTTATCTATTACAAATGCCTCGCCAGTAGATAACCCCAGCTTCCAGATCTTCCCATGCTCAAAGGGGCAGCTAAAAGTGTAGGCTGACTTGGGGTTTTGAAAATACAGCATAACCAGCATCTCCCACTTCAGGAAAGGTGTTGGCTGCCTGCAGGCTTCTGTGTAGGCTGCTGTGTGGTTGGCAAGTATTCAGTGTAAGGGTTCCTGGCCTCCTGAGATGACAGCCTGCCCTGCTCATGGTGCAAGGACTCACACCTGCAGAAGCCATGCCTCCCCACCGAGAGCTGCGTGACAGAGGAACACAGCTTTGAGGAGAGGCCTTGGTGGTGGCAAGGTGGAAATATTGAACACCTTGTAGTGGATGGTGCTGCTGCATGAAGTCTCTAATTGTTAAAAGCGTGAGTTTGGATTTTAAATGGTGTAGCCTTGCATTGAATAGTCAGTCTTTACTGTTAACTTACCCTTGTACAAGAAGTGGGAGAGTTGACACACCTGCGTGCAACTGCTTCCTCTTCTTGCCATCCCTTCCAGCCCTCGCCTGCCTAAAGACACTAGGTGTTATAGAGAACAGAGTTTTGAGGCAGGGTCTTCTCTGCCCTTTAATATGTGCTTCCACTGCAAAGCAGAACCCTATCTTGCTGAGTTAAGTATGGGAATGGCTATGTGACATAACGGTTATTTTTAAAAAATTTGTGGTGATGACTGATGCACTGAGTGATACCTGGTTCTTTATGATCTGCACCTTTTCTTCCTTCAGATGGTGTTAAATAAAAGTTCAACATAATGAAAATATATTTAATCCAATTTTAAGTTGATGCTTTGCATAACTCAAGGCTTGTAGGTTGTGTTTGATGTGTAATAGCAGACAGCTTAAGGTTGTGGTTTGCTCTTCATGTCAGAAAGCAGTTTGTTTCCCTAGTTTTAACTGTGTCACATCCTCTTCAGGGGAGTGTACAACCAGACAGTTTGTTGTCACTGAGCTCTTTAGGGATGGGGTAGAGGCTACGTCTGTCCGTGAGACAAATCAGCTACGTGTTAAGATCTCGGAAGCATCAATGAAAAGAAAGTAATGAATTGTACAGCTGAAAACAGGGACTATCTGGGAGGGACGGTCCTAAACTGAGATAGTTCTCACTTCTTTGCAGCTATATCTGAGCCCTTTGTGAGGACAGAGCAGGCAGGGAGCTCCAGGTACATCTCTGCAGTTCCCTGGTGTGCAGGAGCCACCTCGTAAGTAGCACGGGGACCGGCATCTGCGCTGGACTGTCTGCGGGTGCTAACCTCTCTCTGCTCATCCCCAGGAGTGCGAGTACGGGCAGACCGGAGCACGCCAGCACTGCTGCTGTTCATCTCCCTTGCTCCTGTGGCTGGAGGGCTCGTCTCCAGGCTGACAACCGGGTAACTTTCCTCCAGCATCAGCATTCGTTGGGATGAATCCGAGTGTGAGCAGTGCCATTCCCCAGCTGGAAGGCTGGGACTGATGGAAGAGTGAAGCACATATTGCATGGACTTGTGCCAGCCACCGCTGTCAAGGCTGAGTAAAAATTTTAATTTATTTTAGTGTAGTTATTGAGGCATTTTAATTCCATCAAAGGAAATAACACAAGACAATGTACAAATATTCATTTGCTACTTTTAAATGAATTTGATTCATCTGTGCTTGGCTTCTCCTTTTTGGGTTTTACTTTGAGACTTTCTTTTCGCTCACAGGCACAAATATTCAAGGATTGTGAAGCTTTAAAATTGCAGCCTAAATTCTGCATTTCATAGATGAATGTTTAAACAGAGTAAAGTCTGCTCTTTCTGCAAAGCCCCATTTTTAATCATTAATGCCTGTTCTTCTGAGCAAATAAACCCCATATATATGTGACTTGTATGCATTTAAAAAAAAAGATAGTTTTCTGGGATAAGTTCCAATATGACAATATTCTGTTTATGAATATTTATAGATCCATCAAAATTGGCTTATACTGAATTTGCTGATAAACACTACGGAGGTTTTTTTTTTTTTACTTTTCTTTTGAAAGAGACTGAGAAATTATTAGTAAATTGGGTCAAATTGAGTACATAATTCCGATCCAAAAGCTTTTTTTTTTTTTGTTTAAAAAAAGTCAAACTTTCAAACTTTTTGATTGAAAGCAACTTTTGCATGCATAATTTATCCAAACTGCAAAAAAACCCCAAACCTTTTCACAGTAGTGAATAACATGAAACAAACAAAAATATTTCATTTGTGGCAAAGATTTTAAGTGAGCACAAAATTAAATTTGGGAGTTTTTTTTAATGTAAGAGTTACGTTGCCTGTTTTATGTTAGTAGCAGAATACTGATCAATGTGGTTGCACTGGCATTGTTTCCAGGTTGCAATGAAGGCTTTTCATCCAGATGCATCAGTGTTTTGTTAGAGCTGTGAAGAAGACCATCAGGCTATTGTCTAAATATGCATATGTATCACACTGTGTTTAAGAAAATACTATTGCTTCTTGCACTCGGCTCACAAATGTGGCAGCATTTGTTCTTTCTGTGCCACAAGTGTGGCAGTGTTCTGGGTTTTCTTCTGTGCACCAGGTGTCCTCACTTGATATATTTTACATTTAGAATGAAATTTTTAATGCTGCGTAATTGAAACCTGTTCCTTTTACAGCAATTGATACCAGGTGAGGATTTAGGTTTCTGTGTGCACAGGGAACCCTGGCTGCCTTTCCTCCTCCTCTCAGCACACACCGAGAAGCATGCTTTTATTTAAATATGAGTGTGAACAGTGCCTGATCTAAATAGCCCAGAAGGAAAGTTCTGTTGCAATACATATGACATTTCTGAATCAGCCATTGCACTAAGATATTTGCTTGTCTGCTCCATATTGGGTTTTGACTTGGGAATGAAAACGACTCAGTATTTCCTATGGGATGGAAACGCAATTTTCCAGTCATCTCTAGCTGCGGGTGACCGATTCAGAAAGTAAAAGATTAAAGAGATACAAATGAAGGCATAAAGGAGAGAATGACAAAAGACCTACCAAGAAGACAAATTGAGAGAATGCAGAGGCGAGTGATGGGAAATGAGACACCTTTATGGGCAGGCTACAGGGAGCCTCAAGAAAAAAAGTGCAGCCACTGATTTCTGACAGTAACATCAGAAAACTCCAGTCAGATATGGCTACTGTAGTGTTGTGGAAACAAGTGTACACTCCGAGACCTTGGCTTTATCTCCCAGCTGGTTGAGGGCACAGCAGCACATTGGTTGTGAACCTTTCTGATGTGACAGAACCAGCGTGAGTACTTACTACAGCAGGGTGCTTGTCCTTGAGACCTGAGCAGAGGAGGCTGTGCGTTTGACCATGGGAATACACATGTGTGCTGTTCGGTACAGAGTAGTGCAAGTTTGCTATGGCAAATTGGGATCATTTATGTATCATATCTGACTGTAGGAAAGTATCTGTTGTTAGCCAAATCCATGTTCAAGAAACAGCTGAATGTGTTTGCATCAAAATTCTCCACCGAGAACTGTGTATAATTTGATTGGAAAGCTTTTGGATAGCATGGAGTTCTGCTTTTTTTGTGTGAACCAGAAAACAATGTGTTGGGATAACAGCACTATCTCAGTCTTACCAATGAACTGCTACTCTTTTGCCAAAAAAGGAGCTAGCAATTTATAAGATATGGTTTGTTAAAAAAGTATATATAGTTGTAGGATAGTGTAAGTTACTAGATGCCTTTTTAGTTCACTGTGTCTATGAAAGCAGGAAACAAACTCACATGTTTTTGATCTCTTGCAATAGGACGGTTGCCCTTTTTGTTCTACTACATAAGTGGAGTTGCCCTTCAAGAAATTAAAAGCACATAAGGATTAGGAATCATTTATCTGCCAAAGAGTTGATAAAGTCTGGATCCTGAATTTTCCTGTACATGCCATTACCTTGATTTTTCAGGAAGAGCTGTAATGCATGCATGTTTGCTCTTCCAAACCCTTTTTTTTCATCTTCTGCAGGTAAGTCTATGATGTGGCAGTATGAGGTCTTTAGCTATCTTTGTGGTAGCTAGCTGGGCATGAATAGTGAGCAGCTAGAGATGCCTGTAAAATGGCATAATTGATCCTGGATTTTTAAAACTTGTTTGTGAACAGTAGTGAGTTTTTTATTTTCAAAACCCTTTTTGCTTTTCTTTCTTCAGTATAAGAATTATACTTGACATGGGGTCTTGATTAGAACTTCTTTTTTTCAAAGGAAACAGGTTTTACTATGTTATCTTTGAAGGGATTTGCACAACAATTTGTGACTACATGCCATTTTCTTTGCCTTCACTTTCTGCAGTGCTGATTCCTTCTGCTAAAGATGGCGCAGACATGGGCAGTTCTGGCTGCTCTCCTTTTCTTGCTAATCAGTCTGATTGAAGGGCCAGGTAAGTGAGAAAGTTCCAAAACTATATGCAGCACTCTTTGTATTTCCAGCTCACCAGTACACTGAAACTTCACAGTTCACCAGGGGAAATTTTACTTGTTGTTTAATGTGAATGCAAAGAGTGATGTCACCTCAGCTGGGAAAATAATTGTGTGCCTTGCAGAGTGGCACAGGATGATATATCTGATAGGAATCCAACACAGATCATCTGAAGACCCATATCTTGTTCAGCTGTGACAACATCAGGAGAGATATGATTTCTGGTAGAAAAGGGATCTGTTTATGCCCCTTACTAAATATGCCTTGTGAGCTACTGCATCAAGTTATCTTACATACTGGTGTCTGTCCCACTGCTATCCCTGGTTCTACTTGCAGTTTAACCAAGGCGCCTAATTCAACAACACAATAATTATTTTTTTAAAAAACTAATTTCCTTTCTCTTAAGGGTGAATCTTGCCCTCCCTATCAGTTTTTCAAAGCTCATATTAAAGGGATAGAAATCTGTTGCCTAAAAATGCTGGAAGACTTGCAGCTCATCAACATGCATCACACACCTTCACAGTGTCCACAGAGGCAAGGCACCATCTCCACCACATTTCCAGAATTCAAGGAGTGACAGTAGGAAGCTGGACCTCGAAACAGAATACTACTCACATGTGTCTGCACAGAGCAATGTGTCCCCAAGGTGACCAGTACAGTAAGGAAGTATACATTTTTAAGTGTGATGAAGCCAAGAGTTTCCTATGCTTTGACAATGGCTGTAGCATCATTTTTAGTGTCTTTTTTTCTTCCCGTGTAGATTACAACATGGTGAGTGTGGAGGCTGGTCATGAGGCTGTGCTGAGTTGCCCTTACATCTCCAAGGTGTCTTTGCTAATGGTAACATGGAAGATGAAATGCAGCTCTTGTTGCTTGTTGGCCTATAGAAATGACCACAATGAGACAAGGAAGTTAAACTGCAGTGAGAGGATGATGTGGAAATATTCACCTGACAATGACCCTGCTCTTCGTATTTACCCTGTGAACCTTGGTGATGAGGGAAATTACACCTGTGAAATTGCCAGCAGTGCAGGGAATTTTATTTTTCTCTCTTCTCTGAGTGTGATAGGTAAGACACACCTCGTGATATTTTTTTTTTTTTGTGTGTGTGTCTGTGTAGATAAAAATGATTTGATTTGGTGGTAAAAGACCAAATTCATTTTGGATGCATACTGAAATTGAAAATAAAGAGGTAAGCTGATTTAGTCTGGCTATTTGTAGAGAGGGAAAAGGATTGAGGAGTTATGCAATAGGACTTGGCTGTTCTGCGGAGAAATAATCTGTGGGTTTTGTTTTGGTTTTTTTTTTTTTTTTAACTTCTTCCGACTCATGAATAGGGGAAGTTTTTAGAATGCACAAATCCAACAGTCTGCATAATTTCTGAGAGAGTTCTTTGGATGTAACATGGAGTCTGAATGTGTGTGAATGTTCACACAACCAATGTAAAGAGTATATGCTCTTGTTTAAGTTAATGCAAACAGAAGTTATCAAATAAATATTGCTGCTATAAGCTGAGCAAGGTGATGCTGAACCAAAATTCACAATGAGGTCAATGTGTGTGGTAAGAGCTGAATAGGAAGGAAGCAAACGTTTAAGGGCACTAACTGGAAATATTTCACTCTTCCAGAAATACTGAAAGCTGTCTATAAGACTGCATCAGTAAAATAAAAATGAAATTAGTCTATTTTCAACATAGGAAGGAACAAAAGAATATTAGGAAACATAATGACTACATCAAATAATATTTTTCAGATAATCAGGTAAACTATCTCTAGGTTTCCATAAATTTATACAAAAAAAAAGCATATGAGAAGATTTTGTGTTCTGGCCATATTAGTTAAGCCCTCTGAATATAACAAAAAATTATGGGAAATGAATTTTGGAACTCTGTAATTGCTATTATTAATTTTTGTCACTGGATTTTTTTGTTCTTCCCTGCAGGGTCTTGCCTTTCTGATAATGGCTTAGGTATTGTCCGAGCCTGTGCCTGTTTTGTCAAATGCAGAATAGGAATTGTTGGACTTTAGGCAGAAGAGTTTTGTCTGATTCCTCCTTTATTTCACTACTATCAAATTCTTGATTCTACCTACCCAATCTCCTAAATATTTTAGGAGGAGCTTCAGCAAGCTTTTTTTTTTTTGTTTGTTTGTTTTTCACAACAGTATGTGCACTGCCATTCTTATAAATCTTCATTTAATCGACCCCTCTCTGTCATCCCCTCTTCTCCTTTTACTAGTATAGTCACTTTTTGGAAAACATGAGGAAACGGTACTTCTAGATGCAGCTAGCTAGTTTTGGAGATATTAACTTTGTATTTTTTGATGGATTTTTTTCCCTAAAGATCTTTGGTGCTAATATTCTAAATTATTATAAAATCCTTGAACTGGTCATGCAACCTAAAAAATACCACCTATTTTTCAGTTTCTCAGTTGGTGATTTTATACTGAACTAGAAATAATGGTTGCACCCTTTTTTTTTTCTTCTGTAGTCCCTCCTACAGTGACTCTGACCAGGTGGCTGAACAGGGTGGCTGTCTGTCAAGCATCTGCTGGAAAGCCAGCTGCTGAAATCTCCTGGATCCCTGCAAGTAATCACAGCACCGAGGAAGAAGTCCATCATCCCAATGGAACAGTGACCAGAGTGAGCTACATAAGCTGGGCCAACAGCACGCATCCCACTGTCACCTGCCTGGTTACCCACCCAGCTACAAACCAGACTCTGTCCCTAGACCTGTCATGTAAATAACATTATTCTGCAATTGCTCTTCTTCATGCTCTTGGGCTTCTTTGTGCTGTTCTATGCAGCTGTTCCCACTGAATGCCAGGGATCTGCAGATTGTTTAGTGGGGTGATAGGCCAAAGTTCTGGTGCATGTTGATAAAGAAATTAATGATTTTGTGTTAGTTGAAACTGAATGGTTCGTGGCCTTGTATGAGGAAGCTTCCAGTGCGTGCTTCTTTCTGTCTGTCTTCTGTTTTACAGGAGTTCCTAATTCTAATTGTGGTGGGTTGACCTTGGCTGGCTGCCACGTTCCCACCAAGCTGCTCTTCATAGGGAGAAGACTATGACAAAAAGCTCATGGGTCAAGATAAGGACAGGGAGATCACTCAGCAATTACCATCGTGGGCAAAACAGACTCGACCTGGGGAAGTTAATTGAATTTATTGCCAATCAAATCAGAGTAGGATAGTGAGAAATAAGAATGAATCTAAAAGCACGTTCCGCCCACCCATTCCCTTCTTCTCAGACTCATCTTCACTCCCAACTTCTCTACCTCTTCTCCCTGAGCGGCACAGGGGGATAGGGGTTGTAGTCAGTTTGTTTCTACTGCTCCTTCCTCCTCATGCTCTAACCCTGCTCCAGTGTGGGGTTTCTCCTATGGGAGACAGTCCTCCATGAACTTCTCCAATATGGGTCCTTCCCATCCCACGGGCTGCAGTTCTTAACTAACTGCTCCAGTGTGGGTCCTTTCCACAGGCTGCAGTCCTTCAGGAACAGACTGCTCCAGCGTGGGTCCCCAGCAGTTTTTCCCCCGCTTGAATATGTTATCCCAGAGGTATACTGTCGCCGATGGGCTCAGCCTTGGCCAGTGGTGGGTCTGCCTTAGAGCTGGCTGGCATTGGCTCTGTTGGACATGGGGGAAGTTTCTAGCAGCTTCTCACAGAATCCACCCTGGTAACCCCCCCACTACCAAAACCTTGCCACGCAATCCCACTCTTTCAGTGACCTTTTTAATCACTGATGATGCAAAAGTTGCTTTCAGCAGCCACTGTGACACAGCTACTAATTTTTGATGTGAAGCTTTGAACCCCTGTAACTGCATTTTGTCCAGCTTCCCACAGTGGTGATGGTCTGGAGAAAAATTCCTTGGAGAATGTCTGTCTGTGACTTTCAGGAGATCTTTCCCAGGGCCAATGGTAGTAAAGGGTAAAATTCAGCTTCTCAGCTGGCTGTGCTGGACCTGTTAGAAGTCTATGCTAGCAGGATTTGTAAGAACAGCTAAATAAGTGCTCATATCATCAAAATATCTCAATAGAGGCATGAATGACAGAGTTCAGCATAGACCAGTCATTAATAACAGCATTTTGCAGGGATGGCTGGTCAGTTCTGTTGTTGCCACACTGATACCATTTGAAGAAAGGGAGATCATGCAGGCAGATGAGTTGAAAATGAAAATGTGTTTGTACACACAAATGACTGGGTGTATGAGGAAACTTCCTATTCCTGGTTGGCATCCAGACATCTCATCTTCTGTGTCTCACCTCATTTGAGCTGTGGGGGCACAGGATTAGCTTTCTCCTCTGGTTATGGTAGGTAGTAACATTGTATATTGAGTGGATACTCACATCTATCTCTGTAACTAGCTTTGTTTTCTCATCTCTTAGACACTTCTCCCAGGCTTCCCTATCTCCTGATAGGAGGATCTGCAAGTGTTGCTGCCGTCAGTGGTGTGACTTTATTCTTGATTTTCAGGTGCAGAGGTAAGTCATTTGATGAACCTAAAGTGTATTACAATTCCATTACTGACTATGTGAAGGTACAAGGACATGTACTTTATTGCTGAGAGTGGGGTGGGAGGCAAGGATTGAGGAAAATGTCCATATACGATGCATTGGCCTTTTGGAAAAGTCCTAATAAAATAAGCTGTGGAACTTTAAAAAGTCCAGAGTTTTGTAAGAGCTATAGTTATAATGATATTAATACATTATACATATGGTAGTCATCCAGGATGAAAAGGATTCTTTCTCAGGGTAGGGTAGGTTCTGAGTTTTTAGAATTATTTTTATCATTCTGCATTTACCGACATAAAATTCTGTCCACAAGAATGACAGTTCACAAACTAGTCTAATGAGTAGAGACAAACAACCCCCGTTTCCATCAACAATCATAAATTTTTCTTTGAGCAAGTGCAAGAACAGGCCAAATGTACATATTTCCCTCTGCTAAGTTCGCAGTTTCTCAGGCTGTGCAGATTTCATTGGCACCAGGGTCAGGCTCATATTGAATAATTTGATACCAAGAACTCAGATGATGCTTTGCTACTCTTGAAGTCGAGTAAGGTGGCTGTGATGGGGGTATGAATGGAGTAGAAGCCCAAGTGGAGGCTTAAAATGGGAGGAAGGGAGAATAGCAGGCTGAAGACAAGAGTGTTTTCAGGAGAGCAGAAGATGAAGCATTTGGGAGAAGGCAACGTAGAGGCGGGGAAACTGTAAATGGAGGGATCTTGCAGAGAATCAGAGTGTCTGATTTACTCCCCTCCATTGCCTTAGTTCTGCTCTAGCTTTACTGCTTGTTTGGGTTTCTTCTCTGTGCTCAGTGTCTTTCAGATTATCCCCCCCCCGCACTGGGCGTATTGCATTGCAGATGTATTTCATGAACTAGGACTCAACAAATGGGGTGGAAAAGGGTTGGCAAGAGGGGACAACTAGGGGAAGTGTGCACTAGAAGAGCTGAGAAGGCAGAATGAGGAAAACAGAAAGACATGAGAAGGAAACAGAAGGATGGTTCTCATCAGCAGTGGCAGCACTGACCACTGCTTGCAGCACTTTGACAGGAGTCTGTCCCTGCCACAGAGTGATGTGCTGCTTTGGGGCAGGCAAGGAGAGAAGAAAATGTGCCCACATGGGTTCCTTGGCCCAGCGTGTCCTGCAGAACTAAGGAAAAATGCACCTAACCAAGTCAATTCAGTCAGGTCTTCCAGGGTGACCAAAAGTTTCAGTGAAGAGAAAAATAAAACAAGAGGGCGTTTAAGAGCAGGACATAAAAAATAAGAACTTAACCTTAATTACACCTAACAGTGTAACTGTGTTTTAAAGGAAGTCTTTCAACAGCTGAGGGCAGTTAGAGGAGAACTCTAGACATAACAGCAGTGCACCTTGCTCCATCAAACTGTTTTAATTTCCTGACATCCTATTTTCAGCTCTCCGGTTACGTAAATTGGCACATAGCTCAGCAGTACCACTTTCAGTAAGTGTTTTTTGTGTGTGTGTGTGCTTTGCATTTTTTTTTTTTTTTGGTGTATTGTCCCACTAAAACATGTAATTTCATTGCAACATGTCTGCTCTGATAACACTCCCAACTATCTCTGTGTGTGCTTGGAGGGGGGAATGAGGAACAGTGTATCTGGGAGGGTGTCTACAGTTTGGATGGCCCTATCTTCATATATGTTCAGAGTATCTGAGTAATTGTTTAAGCACTAGATGGAGAGTGAGTAGTGTAATGCATTTCCTGCCCAAGAATACTACAAATTACATTACAATGCCAGTGGTTAAGCTGAATTTTAAATCTAGAAGTTAATTTTTTCACATTTTTGCTTCATAGCGTAATCTTAGCTCTGATCTTCTGGTTAAGAATGTGTATTGCCCTTGATGGCTGAAACCTGCCCGATTAAAGATTGGATGAAAACAGGCATTTTTCAATGAGGGAAAAAGGTGCACTTTCTTATGCTGTATTACAGACAAACACAGATATGAAGCTTTTATTTTTTTAAGTCACAGTTCAAACACCCAGAAGCTAGGAAACAGCAGTGACAAATTTGCCACTGCAACTTTTACTTCCTCTCCAATTCCAGTGTGTTGTGATGCATATTTAAAAGTGTGATTATATGCTGCTCTTTCCTCAGGGCTTCTGCCTCATTTAATGCACACTGAAAGAGCAATTATTTCATATTTTGCTTTCTGCTCACAGTTAGATTAATGGCGTGTGCCTTGTTTGTTGCAAACTAGTCAAAAAGTTCTCTCAAGTTAGAATGATTAATTTCCTGAAATGCTTTTCTGTGGCATTCAGGACAATTTGACTGATGGGAGTGGGAGTTGCAGAGATCAAAGTCAAAAGCTTCCAGTAATTTTAGGTGCCTAAATTGGATTGCCTGTGCCCTGCATGCTTTTTTCAGAGAAGTCAACATTGTTCATTATCATCTATTTTGCTGAAAATACCAGCATTTCAAAATTTGTTTTCAATCACATTAGGAAAAAAGATGCAAAAGGCTGTCCTGTTTAGGCTTTGTGAAGGAGCTAGTTGCATCTCTCTGTCAGCTCAGGTTTTACCCTCTGTATCCTACCCCTTTGCTCACAGAGCCGAAAGAAATCACTTCACAGTTCTTTTGCAAAAGTAATGTTGCCTACCAGGTTTCTTCTGGTCTTTTTTTTTTGTTGGTTTTTTTTTTGTTTTTTTTGTTTGGCGTTGATAGGTATGATGATTCCACAAAATTCAACAATATAATACAACAGTATGTTTTTTTTCTTTATCTTGCAGGCTCAGAACTTCAAATCCAGACCATTACATGTGAAAACGGAAGTGGTCAAGCCTCCTGTCTTATCAGAGAGTATCTATCAGAATTACAATCCAAGATTGATATATATGAACAATTAACAGTGTAGGCAGAAGCAGTCTAATACCAGCTCAGCTACTATTGATACTCAGTTATCTGAACTTGTACTTCAGCTAACAAATCTCAGACCCTACTGCATAGCAGGCCAGCAGAACACTCAAAACTGCCCCACAAAAGCCTTTGGGTTTTTTTTGACCTGAAGACAGTGGGGGAGAGCCACCTGTTTTAGTAAATTATTTCTCTCTTTCTCTAAATGTCAGTACAGCTCTTGAAACACTGAAACTTTTAAAGACTGACTTGGGGAAATACCTATCTGAATTTTGTTTGAAAATGGACTTTGAGGTATGTGCTGTCGTCAAATCAATAACTGACATATTTCTGTGCCAGCATAACAGAATGCTGTTGAAAATGCAGCACTTTTTTCCATTTCCGCTTCTCTTTGCAATTTTGTGTTGGAAATGAGGAGGTGACACAGGGACAAGATCAAAGAAACGCATCCAGTAGAAATGCAGAAATAAGAGGGGTTTTTTTTCTGGGTAGGTGGTTGCATGTGGCAGATGACAATCTCGTATTTGTCATCTTTGGTTTTTTTTATATTTTAATGTATTTATTTTTCAATTAAACTTTCTGCTTACATTGATAATGGAAGAAAAAAAGCCAATTTGAAATTGTACTTGATATGAAAATATCAATGGGCAATTTTCTAATATTCATTTTAACGTAAACATGCAAATATGCAAATATTTACCTAAATAATTTCTGAGGCTATTTGGGTAAATGTTTATCGACCAGTTTCATAGAAGCTGAGATCACAGCATGGTTTTACTAAGAACAGAAGCGTTAATTTGTTAAAAATGCAGGTGGTTTACTTGTTTAAAGCAAACAGGACTGCTCCTCGCCCCCGCAACCAAACCACTTATTTCTTCTCAATCTCATGTCCCCATGCTGCAAAAAGCCCCCCACAGATTGGTTTTTAATTTCAGTTTTCATTAATCAGATTTGTCAAACCTTCCAAACACTAATCCAGCAGTAAGTATACTCAAAATTGTATTTTGAACAGCCTTTGCCTGCTTGTTGCTGGAGGAAGTAATCTCTGCTCCTTCAGTGTTCTTAGGCATGGGATCTCCCAGTGCCTTTTAACTGCACTTCACTTTATCACTTCTAAATAGACATGGGTGATGGGCATCTACTGGCACCGGTCCAGCCTTTCATTTTAGTCAGAAAGGCATGAAGAGCAACCCTCTGCCTTAATGAAAACTGCCTGCAGAAGACAATCTGTTCACGCCTGCTGGGTGACTGCGTGGGGCCTTTCCTGTGGTGTTAAATGTCAATGATGGGTCACTATCTCAGAGCTGTGTACAGCTTCTTCATGTCATCTGTGGGGAAGGAGACGCACCATTTCATGTAGACAGCCTCTGGGAGAAATAAGTGACAGCTCAGAATTAGTGAAAACAGGTTTTCAGTGATGCTAGGTAGGAAAAGCATTTTGTAACTCTAGTGGCATCCACAGCAGTGCCTTGGTCTCAGGAAGTGGTTTCCCAGTTCTGCATGCCAACAGCTGGTAGTGCATGGTGGGCATGATCCAGCATCCTTTTTTTGTTCTCCTTGTCAGCTGGGAACTTTCATAGTCACAATGCTGACAAGGAGTCAGTTGTTAGTGGAAGCCTCTGGAATAGGGGAAAAACCTCTTGTTTCTTAGGGAGTTGCCCAGCTGGGTCTAACCCTGGGATCCTAGGCTGGGGTTGCTCAATGTGACAAGTGAACATGGATTGTTCCTGAGGAAAACTACATCAGTTTGGGTTTGTCTTATTCAGAAGCTGGACCATTGCAGACAGACTGAAGGATGACATGGCTGTCAAAATGAAGAGAATTAGGCTGTCGAACAGTCTGCTTTTGGCAGTCATGGTGCACGTGTGTTGTGATTTTTAGGGTGCAAAGCAAGAACTTGTGATAATTCCTTTGCACCAAGTGAAATGTTGAAGAGTAAGATCCAATGCAGATAGACAGGGAGATGGTAGTGCAGGGGGTAAAACCCTCTGGAGAAACACCACTGTGATAATTAACCCTGTCTGAAGCATGGCTTCCGTGCTCATGATTTTATTTTCCCCTTTAATTTGTGGAATTGGTCCAGTCACCTGCAATTTGGTGGAA